CTACATTTTGATTCTCAATCGAGGATAAACGTAGATGCCTATTGGCCACAGCATCGACTTACGTGGATGGTTTGTCATCTTTATACTATAAAAAATCTTAGATATTGGGTTCCTATACCTACTCGCCTGTGTGTTTCCCTGATCCAGACGTTTTTTTTGGACAAGTCACTGAGTTTTTTTTTGAAAAGTGACTGATTATACCACATAATATATGATTTTACGACGTAATTTTAAAATGCAGTTACCTAAATACGTATAAGAGATTGTAAAGAAAATTTTTTGACTTAGGGTTTTGATAGAAAAATGGAAAGGTATTTTCTTGCATCTGTTAATAACGCTCTTAAAAGCAGTTTTTAAAATTTAGTACCATTGATTTTGCGTGTTCAATAAATCTACTCAAACCAACAAATCTACTATACTATCAATTCAATATACTGATATCCACCGATGAACAAAGGCGGTCCTCAGAGATTGCCTCATGGGGAGATTTTGCTAAAGTTGCCACGCTTGGCAAGCGAGTTGGGAAACGGAGCTTGTTATTATTTCGAGTTGTTATCAGCTAGATGCTTTTTTTTTATAGGATAAGGGTGACAAACGAGCACACAGTCTACCTGATGGTAAGTGGTTGCTGTGGCCCATAAACATCTACATCTATCTTCAATTAATAATCAAAATGCAGATGCCACCCGTGAGCACTAAGATGGAATGCCTCGTTTCCAGTAAAAAGGGTCTCTGGTTCTCTACACACACCATACGAAACACAGCAGCGTTAAGCTGCTATTTTACGCTGGTATTCTGTGAGAGTGTGATCTTTCCGCGGTCGAGCCGACCAATTCGTGCTACAACCATAATATAGTTGCAGCATGGCTCTACCACGTATAAAATAATATATAATGCTGCTGTAAATCACCTGTTTAATTTTCCCTTTAACGCCTCTTGCGACACCCACGGGACGATATGGGATAGTGGATTATTACACCGCCAGTATACGGTATCAACATAACATAATTCATCAAATTTCCGAAAACTGTTTGATTTATGTCTTCCACATTAAATTCAAAAACGTCACATATTACTCTTTTTTTTTCTTTTTTTTTTATAATCATATCATAATCAAAAGCAATATCTTTATCAAGAAGATAATATTTTAGTTTTGAAACGATTTGAAAATATCACGAACATGCGATAGGATTACCTAAAATTATCTAGATTTTCCATTGCTTTCAAATTACTTGCGTTCACTCTGACTACTCTGCTCTCATACTTTTGTAGTTGGATATAAAACTTGCAAAGTTACAAATTCACTATGCACTACCATGCTTCTAGACTAGATTGAAAACTAGGAGAAGGGACTTCCATTATCATCATAGATATAAGAAAGAAGTGTTTGTTATATTTCTATGATCACAATAGAATAAAACCACCACATCATTTTCATGTTTGTCATTTATTAATTTTTTATAATCTGTATTCATAGACCTCCCCATAAATTTGCTCATAGGGGGGATATTTGGTATAGTTGCCACGCTTGGCATGCGGGTTGGCAACGTAGTTTTTTATTTTAAATTGTTATTATGTAGACTGATTTTTCCCTCTGTCGCCTCTTACGACACCCGCGCCATGATATTTGTATTCAAGAACTGAATTGATTACAAGTATTTACCATAGAACGTTGAAGAATACGAAAGTAATACATTTTAACAATAACGAAAAATGATTTTTACTTGGTACAGCCATGCTGCAGTTATATTAATAGTATAGTTGTAGCACTAATGAGTCAGCCCGTCCGGGGAATTACCACGCTCTCACAGAATACCAGCGTAAAATAGCAGCTTAACACTGCTGTGTTTCGTATGGTGAGTGTAGAGAACCGGATACCCTTTTTACTGGAAAAGAGGCATTCTATCTTAGTCCTCACGGCTGACAACGCATTTTAATTCGCAAACGATGATAGATGTAGATTTCTATGGGCCACAGCAACCACTTACCATCAAGTGGACTGTGTGCTCGTTTGTCACCCTTATTCTATTTAAAAAAAAGATTTCCTTAAAACTGAAATTGAAAAGAAATCGAATAGAAGTCCACAAAAGATTTGTCAGGAAAAATAAGCATTCCAGCGGAGGAGGTCGCACTAATAAGTTTGAATATGTCCAGACAATTGAACATTTAAAAAGGGAACGCTTATTAAAAATGAAATATTATGTTAATTAAGAGTTACTCGCACGGAGATGTCCACTTAAAAGTGCGTTTACAAGACCGTCCCGATGTGAACCGTGCCTTGTATGGAACGGCTAATGAGACGGCGCGGTCGCAGGCATGCGAGAAATCCCGCCCGGTTTGGGTGCTTTTCCCATTCTATCGACCTTGTTAGCTGGAGACGGATTTTGGCATTCTGTCAAGGTCCTCTGCATTGGAATGTAGAATTTTATTAACTTGGAATATTGAAGTCTTTGTCGGGTGAAATTAAATTATTTATTTAACAACGTGACATAGGCTAGCAAAAGCATAATATTTTTACAAGAAATCATAAAATGTTTTGAATTAATTACAGGTGTTGAACTAATTGTTAAGTATAACCTTACATAAAGGCCTTTTAAGACTTTCGTTTGTGGTATTTATGGAGAAGTAAAAAAATATTACTGGCAGATATTTCAGTATATTATGAAATAAGTAGTGCTTTTCTACGAATTTTTATGATTTGGATATATACTTCCACTTGTTTCACAATATTTATTTTAAGTTAATTTATTAACTATAAAAACCACGAATTTGAAGGAATTTGTACGAATTCATTGTATAGTTATTTCAGTCTCTTGATATGTGTACCAAAAATCTAAACACTTTATTAAATAGACGTTACCGCTTTTTGTTATCAGGTGTTTTATAAAAATATATATTTACAATTACAACAATGTGGTATTTTTAGAGAACTCTGTGGTGGTGGTGGTGTGAATCCAAAACCTCATTTTATACCGCGGGTTTCGTAGGAAGCGACAAGGGAAATTCCAAAAAGGTTCTGGATACCTTAAAATAGATAAAAAATAAGTAATTTATTTGCTATCCTAAAAAAAAATTCAAAATATTTTCTTTAAATTTATATGGGACCACCCTTTAAGCATAACCTATTTAATAAAAAAATAATCATCAAAACTGGTTCACAGTCTGCGAAAATATCGCGTAATATACATACAAAAATCATACTTTCGGATGGAGTACCTCCTCCTTTTTGAAGTCGGTTGAAAAACTAATTTAAGTTCTATCACGTTAAAATTAGCAAAAATTACACCTTAAAGCTGTGGTGGTTGTGTAAGAGAATCCATTGCCCCATTTCGTCCCGTGGGTTTCGTAAGAAGCCAAGGGATATGCTAAAAAAGAATCTAGAAAAGGGCTTCCGATAGACGGCAGCTTAACTATTCGATTACGGCAGGTGTAAAATACCTTGACCAGCGACGGGGATCGGAGTCCAAAGTGCCCATCAGCTGATATCAATCCGCCTGTTTAGCGTCGATTAAAGCAAATCCACTCTTCAATGTTTATAACATGAACATACAACACATGTTCAGCAGTGTACGGGCCGATAATGAAGAAGGATACACTAAATCAGTAATAACGTAAAGTAAAGTTGCAGCCTATTTACGTCCCACTGCTGGGCACAGGCCTCCTCTCATTTCTGAGAGGGTTTTAGGGCAAGGAAATGTCCGCCGCGCTGCCCCAATGCGTGTTGGTGTACTTCACATGTCTTTGAAATGTTTTTTTTTCTTATTTCTCAGACATGCAGGTTTTCTCACGTTGTTTTCCGTCACCGCCGAGCACGTGGTAAATCAGTACTTAAAATTGTAGTTAACAATTTCATTGGTGCCGGTGGGGATCGAGCCCGGGTTGCTCGCGTACTGTGAAGCTTACAGCAAGCGCTAACCATCTGAGCTACCACGGCTCAAAGGAATAATAAACTAATTTATCTCGGGGCAGAAAAATAAAAACCCTGCATTGGTGGCACTTCTGGGTTTTATTGCATTAAATACAATAATCATCCCAACATCAAAGTGGTGCATACGTGGTAGAGCCATACTGCAGCTATATTAGTAGAAAACCATCGTTAAATAACAGCTTAACACAACACAGCTGTGTTTCGTATGGTGAGTGTAGAGAACCGGAGACCCTTTTTACTGGAAAAGAAGCATCTTAGTCCTCACGGGTGACAACGCATCTGCATTTTGAATCGCAAACGAGGATAGATGTAGATGTCTATGGGCCACAGCAACCACTTACAATCAGGTGGACTGTGTGCTCGTTTGTCACCCTATCCTATAAAAAAAAAACATAAATTCGACGACGGTAAAAAAATCAATCGAGTTCACAATAACACTTAACTCATGACGACATATAATCGAAGCGTTAGGTACTGTTGCTGGTAATTTATTTTGGTGAGGATTTAAAGCCCATTAAATACAATTTCATTTACAATCATGCTTTTAAATTATTTTTTTTTATTTTAGCTATATAATTACCGAGCTTCTCTCTTTTGAAAGTGTTGTGAAGCTGGAACATGGAAGTTTTCCCGCCTGTAATATCTGAGAAGGAGGCAGTTTCCAAAGAGAAACGACCTACTGAAACCACGTTCTGCCAGAAATATGGGTTTAATAACAACTCTACAAAGTTATACATGCTATCTGGCACATTATTGAACAGGCCTATGTTTAACAATGGACTTAAAATGATGTTGATGTCGTTAACTATTTTTAATTAATTAAGTACATAATAATGTTAAGATAAAGTCAAAAATAAGTTAAAAAATTTTTGCACATTATCTTTTAAATAATTTCAACTATAAGAACAATGCCTAAACACAAAGCCAACCCATTTTATCCGTACAAGTATCGGTAGCGTCCGTCCTTATCTGTATGATAACGTTCAAAACGTACGCCCGATATCGTATCTAATTTCAGTATCACTCGCAAACCGTAAAGCGTTGGACTCAGTCATGTGAGAAAGTGATTAATATGTCAAAAACATCAGCCGCTAGACCCGAGTCCGGCTTACAGGATGTTAGGGTTGATGTGATGAGAAAGTCGCGTATGTCTTCGCAAAATGGAGATAAAAAAGGAGCACCTGAGAGAAGCACCAGCTATGTTTATATGAATTCGGCGTTCATTGGAAGTTTTAATAGTGTGAATGAAGCAAGAGCGCCTCAGCCTCCCACCAGGTGCGTTTTTAGACCGCTATTATTTCGTAGATAGCACTATGGCAAAACCAAGTCGGACCATAGACTGCCTCATAGGGGGTATATTTGCCATAGTTGCAAGCGGGTTGGCTACCGCAGTTTTTATTTTTAGTCGTTATTAGGAAGACGCTGCTGCCCATATCCTAATTTGTTTATCTCTGTCGCCTTTTTTTTATAACTGGCTTTACGGCTCTGGGTTTTAGCTCTTCTGAGCCTTCTCTGTCGCCTTTTACGACTCAGGTGTATAGAGTAGTAGGTATTCACTATTTATGTAGTAGTAGGTATGGTAAAGCGATTTAAAGAAATTTTGTTTGTATATAGTGTAAATGATTAGATTACTCGTATGACATGAAAAGTGGGGACCTATTATTGTTTTACGGAATAATTGCGTTTAAGAATAACATACTTTAAAACAATTTGAAGCTTCAGCTTAATAGTACATCTGGACAACTAGACATTTTAAATATAGGTTTTTACTGGTCTATTGCTCGCACATACTAACTGAACATAACATAAGATAACATAACATACTAACTCCTTTTTAAAAGGCCGGCAACGCATCTGCAATTCCCCTGGTATTACAGTTGTTCATGGGCGACGGTAGTCACTTACCATCAGGTGGGTCGCATGCTCGTTTGCCCCCTCTCCTATAAAAAAAAAGAATGACCGAGCAAGACAAGAGAGACAATCATTATTTCGTATTTCTCTGCTTCTTTTTTCAAAACTGTACCAATTTAATGTCTTTTTTACGATAGATGTAAGAAAGATTGTAACTATATCCGTATTTTTTTCTTTTTCGATTGTCATTTTTCTTTTCTGAAGCGTCAGTAGCCTAATGGCAGGGCGCGGATCGCGAACTCGAAAGGTCGTGGGTTCGAATCCGCCATTCGACTACTGTCGTGAGCCACTTCTAACACAAGCATTTTAAGCTTACCAGAAGTGGTTAAAGGGAATATTAGTAATGTTTAACAGCATTACTAGTATTTTATTTAAAAAAAAATTATATTGTTGTCTCATAGGGGCTGTATTACTTGACAATTTTAGTAATTTTGGAATAATATATTTATGGGAATAAAATAAAAGATAGGAACAAGGCAGTACTAGTTATAATAAATTGTATCGTTAAAATATTTGCTTTAGTGTATAACCTAAAAATATTGCCGCTAGGACATCTTCTTAACATTAAGGAAGTGTGTGAATAGTTACATATTTATAAATTCTTTTATACGGTATTTAGTTGCAGTTCTGTGTCAGTAATAATGTTGGATAAATTTACGCTCTTTTCCCCATTACTTTGATGCTTCAAATTATCCAAAACATTACATTTTTCGTTCACATAATATTGAAATAATCTGAATTTCAAAATATCATAATTTATATACAACAAAATTTTCCAAAACAAAATGTCGACAAAAACGTAACCTTCAATGAAAGATCTTTCTATCATCTATACATCTATACAAATAAATAAAATTGAAGTGTCTGTTTGTAATGTCGAAATAACAGCTTTTTACTATATATGTATATGAAAGTAAAGACGTTACTTATAACAAAAACACGATTTTTAAATTTTTGGTCTGTCTGTCTTTCTGTCTGTCTGTATGTCTGTTTGTTCTGGCTAATCGCCGAAATGGCTGGACCGATTTCGACCGGACTTTCACTGGCAGATAGTTGATATTATAAGAGGTAACTTAGGCTACTTTTATTTTAGAAAAATAATTAGGGTTCCGCGCAATGAAATTAAAACCCATGAAATCCAATCTGAATGACAGAGTGAGAAATTGTTTAATAAGAGAAGAGTGTGATTTGAAAGATGATGTTGTGACCAGGATTAAGAAAGGAATGCTTCGGTGGTTTGGCCATGTAGAAAGGATGAATGAGGAAAGAGTGACAAAGCAAATTTATGTTGCAGAGGTGAACGGCATTGTCGGGAAGGGTCGCCCTAGGCGAAAGTTTATCGACCAAATTGGCGATATATTAAAAATGGGCCAAGTCAAGAGTACCTTTAACCGACGAGCATGTGTGCGTAGATATATGGATGTGGAGGATGCGAGAGAGGTGTGTCAGGATCGTGCCAAATGGAAGTCCATAATTTCTCCATAATCTCTGTTACCCCTCTGGGTGACAGGCGTGAGTGTTTATGTATGTATGAAATCCAATCGTAATAAATTACGCGTAGGCGAAGACGCGAGGAACAGAGGAAATTGGTACATCCTCGGCTTTAAGCAGTACGTGCCCCAGAGCATTACAAGTGAAGGGATGAGATCCAGAGTTTATTTATATTGCGATGCCATGAAGATGAAAATTTGTTTGGTATCAAGTAGTTGCAATATTTATCGCGAGATTAGAAACAAAGGTACGAAATTAAGTGCGTTTTTTCATTGGCCGACACGATAACGATATATCGTCGCCGATACCCGTTATCGTTATCGGAACAATGAAATGTATAGAATAACCTATGATGCTTTTTCATCTACCGACACGACGAGTTATCGTCGACGACATATTGATACCATATCCGCTCTCCACAGGATCATACCGATAAAATCAATACGTGACGTAAATACACTCGGCTATTGATAAATTAGAGTAGTAGAAAACTTAATAATGTACTAGTAGAGAACCGGGGTCAATTTTTGCTGGAAACGAATCCTTCTATTAATTTTTAATACAGACTGTAGATTCCTATGGGCTACAGAGTCCTGAGCACTTACCATCAGAAATTGGACTATGTGCTCGTTTGCCACCCTTTTTAACCGACTTAAAAAAGAGGAGGTTCTTAAATCGCGTATATGTTTTTGTTTGTATATATGTTACGCGATATCTTCGTAGATTGTGAACAAATTTAGATGATTTTTTTTAAATTAAATAAGTGATACTTTAAGGGTCCCATATAAACTTGGAGATTATATTTCACCTCTAAGGATAGCACCTAAATAATTTATTTGTTAGCAATTTGAAGTCGGTTTTTACTTTTTTTTTTAAAGTTATAATTATTCAATAAAAAGTGTTCACATGCCGGATCAGAACCCACGGCTTTCCGAGTTTGCAGTAAGGATACGCTTTAACCACTAGGCCACTGCCGCTTTACATTTTAGTTATGTCCACGGTCTATAGTAGTTACTTACTATCAAGGTGGTTAGTTGCCTCGGTTGTCTAGAAATTATTCTTATCTGGTGTATGAAAATATTTGTTTTACTTCACACGAGGGAACCGCCCCGTCTTCGCACGGTTTATTTCTGGATCTCGACAACACCGCTACCTATCGGGTCCAATTGTGAATCTAAACCATTCTCTAATCAAACACACAAAATTTCATCAAAATCGGTCCAGCCGTTGAAGAGGAGTTCAGTCACATACACACCGACAGAAGAGTTATGTAATATATAATATGCATGTATTATACATATAAACTTTTCAATTTAACCACCCTATCTACTAAAGGATATTGCATCAAAATTTGTTGCAAAGTTTAAAAGATTTAAGCGTACAGACGGCGGAAAGCGACTTTGTTTCATACTACGTAGAGATTTTTTTTTTCTTCCTTTCTTTCATTCGCAGAATTGACCCCTTAACCGACGAGCGTGTATGCGTAGATATATGGATGTAATAGAAACGGGAGAAGTGTGTCAGGATCGTGCCAAATGGAAGTCCGTAGTCTCTGCCTACCCCTCTGAGTGACAGGCGTGAGTTTTTATGTTTAAATCGCTAAAGATATTCTTATCAGATGTCTAGGAGTATTCGTTATTACACTTCTAGAGTATAAATAAAAGGAGTGTAGGAGGTCTATCTCTACTAATATGTGGTGAATAATCAATTAAAATTATTACATTTTTTCAATAGAATTGTAAAATTTGATCATCTAGTATGTTTATTATCATACGTCATCATAATACACCTTCCCAACTTCTCTGCTGAACATAGGCCTCTCCCAAGGAATGCCATAAAATATACTGTTGACAAAACTTTAAAAACAATCAAAGTGATAAGTTCAGTTTTTCGAAAGATATTTTGACCAACTGACGTCTAAGTGAAAATATATCAATGATCTTTTTTTTAATACGCGTTCGATGTGTGCAAAAATTATGACAATCGACACGGTTGTGTATCGACGCACAAACAATATTAACACCGCAGACCAGTTTCGGCTTTGCCTGGATAAGATTTATTAATGCAACGTTATTTAGATTTAAGATATGCAAAGACCTTTTCTTGGTTTTATCAGTTTTTCCATTTTTTATCAGTTTATCTGTTCCATAAAGTTTCATAACAATCCCTCTTTTTTTCTTTTTTTTTCTTTAAATTTTTACAGACAGACATCAATTTTATTTATATGTTTATATAACTGACATTACTGTTAGGTCTCTGTTTCTGTATCAAACAAAGAATTTTTGATGATACGCTTCAGATTAAAAAAAAAATATTTAATTATCCTTATCTTTTGACTGTTTACTATACATTCTATAAAAAAAAAAGTTAAAAATAGAGTAGACATAGATAACATCTGAATGTAGTATTCTAACGTGTTTAGAGTTAAAATTATTCAACCACTGAGATGTCACATTCAATAGAGACATTTTATTAAAAAATTGAATTATATAAGGTACGGTACGGTTCTCATTGTCACACATAACAAGTGTTTCTGAGTGCGTCAGATTTATTTAGTGATAAATTAGTTTGTGTTAATTGACAGTGGTAGAGCCACGCGGCAGCTTTTGCTGTCGCACGGATGAGCCGGCTCGAACTGGGGTGGTACCACGACCTCACAGAAAACCAGCGTGAAGTAGAGGTTTACCTCTGCGTTTCATTTGGTGAGTGCAGGTGGCCGGAGGCCCTTTTTACTGGAAATGAGGCATTCCATCTTAGTCCTCACGGGTGACAACGCATCTACATTTTGATTTGTAATAGAGGATAGATGTAGATGTCTATGGGCCGCAGCAACCACTTACCATCAGGTGGACTGTGTGCTCGTTTGTCACCCTTATCCTATAAGAAAATAAGACACGAACTTGAATAAACAATCCACCCATCCATTCATTACGGCCTATAAAGGGCCACTGCTATACATAGGCTATACATGCTATACATCTACGTGGTAGAGCCATGCTGCAGCTATATTATGGTTGTAGCACGAATGGGTCGGCTCGAACGGGGAAGGACCACGCTCTCACAGAAAACCAGCGTAAAATAGCAGCTTAACGGTGCTGTGTTTCGTATGGTGAGTGTAGAAAACCGGAGACCCTTTTTACTGGCAAAGAGACATTCCATCTTAGTCCTCACGGGTGACAACGCATCTGCATCTTGAGTCTTTATTGAGGATAGATGTAGATATCTATGGGTCACAGTAACCACTTACCATCAGGTGGACTGTGTGCTCGTTTGTAACCCGATCCTATAAAAAAAAATAGGCCTCCCTCGTAGGATTTTGCCATAGTTACCACGCTTGACGGTGGGTATTTAATGGTAGTTTTCTCAGCGTTGTTATTAGGAAGAAGCTGCTGACCATTTCTTGTTTCAGTTTCACTACGTCACCTTTTACGATAACACCAGCTAATATTAATAAAGTGAAATTAAAAAAAGAACTTTCTTTTTCAGTGTCATACGAGAGCAGTATTGGACGTGCTCGAGATGGAGCTACGCCCAAAAAGTTATGGCTATAGCAGTGGGCGTCCTCTCCGGCGCAGTGATAGGCCTTGCACTCACCGTAGCCCTTAGAAAAGGAGACAATGACTTGATCGGTGGTATATTCAGATCCCACGCGGCGCCTGATTAAGACTCGAGCTGTGATTGAATGATAGACTGTATTTTACGTATTACAAAATCCCTATACTTGAAGCTTCTTAGTTGTATATATTTACTAAAGACGTGACCATGTTCCTTGAATAATTGGGGTTTTAAGTGCACGCGTAAGAAGCGTGCGTGGGGAAATCTTAATATATTTTGATTTAATTTTTTTATAGCAGTTTTGTTTTGATGCTAACGTCTAAAGCTGCGGCTAATTCAACCGTAGATTGGGTATCATCAGTTTTCACAATCGCCTTTAATTCGTCATTCAAAAGCCGAAAGAAGATTTCAGAACCTATAAACTTATTGCAATTGAAGCAATGCTTATCATTTTTAACATAATAATAATAATTGTTGCTGCGCCGATAAATTGTTTTGACAAAAAGATAATGTTGTCTTTCTCCTGTTTCATTTATTTCTGTAGTCTTTTAGGCCACTAAACGGTGGCTTTTTATTTTAAATCAATGTTTGAATACTCTGCACAGTATTAGTTAGCATAATTATTATTTTTATTTATTTATTTATTATTGGATAAAAATTGTTACATTATTGCTATGCGGCACAGCGAAAAACCACGCTGGTTTGTGTTGCGTGCCGTTCCGTCTACATTTACAAAAATGGGGATAACAACTAATATTTGTTAAGGAAATAACATTTTAATTTATACTTTATGTTAACTTCATTAATTTCACTTTTAAATTTATTATCCAGACCATTTATTAAGCGAGGTATTATGTATGCACTGGTGCGCTCACCATATTTATTTTTGGATGGTATTGTTATTGATTTTTTTTTGAGTTACTTTGCGGGTCTGAATTTTGTTTGAGACTGTATGTTGTATACCTAAATTAAATAATTGTTCTTTTAACAGTTGGAAATTAAAGTTTTAAAAATGTGAGCTTAATCTCTTACACTTACTATACAAAATCAAATAAGTACTTATTAAGAATTAAAGCATTTTGTTTGTGAACAACTACGTAATAAATGAACATCACATTTAGTCCGCGCTGCTAGTTTTGGTACTGGAGATTACAGTACTAGACGTTTAATAAAATTTATTAAACGTCGTTCCCTAGTGAATATTTAATGTCAGTTCTTTTTATTCATTCCCAATTATCGAAAGCTTATCTCAGATTTATCAATTTGTTTTCAACATCACTACTATAATCAATTAAAAATATTAAACCATAATTAATCCTATAATTACCAATGTAAATAAAATAAAGTCTTCATCTTTATCATCATCATCAGCGTGAAAATCCACTGCTAGTTGCGGATCTCTCTTCGGCCTTGACGAGCTGATTGGTGATCGCAATAACAGATGGTTATACCTTATACCGCCATCTGTCGGAAGCTATAAGATCTTTATTGCATTTCTCATAGTTACGTATTACAACACCCACGTAAGGTAATGGGATGAAGGATCTTTTTACGCAGCTACCATAATAGCAATAGGTACGAATTTTTTAAAACGTTACCACCACACTAGGATTTTCTCCTGTACCGAGGAAGCACTTTACAAACATAAACTGCACGAGGACAAACACCCAGACCCGGAATAATTATTTGTAGGCCACACAAATACTTATTCCGTGCGGGATTCGAACCCGCGCCCCCTCACTCAACTCATTGCTAAGCCACTGCGCCCTGAGCCGTCGTAATATAAAATATAGTATAGTTATATTTTATAATTATAACCTGGCTAAATTTAAAACTGAAACAGAACTGTTATATTCATATAAATGAAATGTTAACTTTGTTCATATTGTATTTCTAGCAAAATTTCACACAGTTTTTGAATAAGACTGATAACAAATACAACAGTTAAATACAAAGTAAAATTCAGTATTGTAATTACATTACGTTAATTAATACAAAGAATATAATAAATCGTTATTATAAGATAATTATTTGATAAGTCCCAATTCCAAATCTCGTCATTCTTTAAGTTATAAAACATTAATTATGTTTAAGTAGTTTTTCCAGTCAAACTATCACGAATATCGGTTGTGTAGACAATTTTCAATATAAAAAATGTTTGGAATTTAATAAAAATTATTTAAAGTGACCCAAGTTTTTAGTACTGGAACTAGTGGAATGTGGGAAGTAAAGACTGTGTAAGAACTAAATAAGATTTTTTAAGTTTGTGGTTTTTGGTGTTAGCACAATGAAATAATTTATTATAAATAAATATGCACTTATAACACAATACATATATATTCAATTAATATTTGTACAGAGCACTCAATATTACAGTTTTTGTAATCACGATACTTAATTACACTTTAACTAATTCGACGCGTGTTCTTAAAACAGAACGCTCAAGAATCATGATGCACCCTAATTTATACATTTCCCTTTCCACTTCACATTTCCCTTTCCACTTCTCTTCCGTTGTGCACGAAGAGGGGCGGACGATGTTGGTTGCCAACATTGGCCATTTTGAATTTTTAAGTTTGTGATTTGGCCCCTATGAGAACGTTTTTTCCCCTATTCAACCATGACCCCCATGACATCCTCTACATGATAGGCTATATAAACCGACTATCCCGAAAGTTCGAGTCACCCCCAATTTTTTTGGTTTTTGCTATTTTGACCCACTAGGAGTGTAATGAGAACTTACCTACTTAACGCACCTATTCAACCATGACTGATGAGATGGCTCCGTGAGACAGTAGCTTAGCAATGAGTTGCTGCGCTGGGGGCTGCGGGTTCGAATCCCGCACGGAACAAGTATTTGTATGGCCTACAAATAATTGTTCCGGGTCTGGATGTTTGTCCTTGTGCAATTTGTGTTTGTAAACTGCCTCCACGATACAGGAGAAAATCCTAGGGTGGGGGTAACGTTTTCATTAAAAATAAACTCCCATGACATCCTCTACGTGATAGATAGGCTATTCAAAATGACTAGGCCTAAAGTTCGAGTCAACCCCCAAATCATTTCTAGTCTTTACTTCTAAGTAGTGGGATGCGGGAAGTAAAGACTGTGTAAGAACCTCTGAAGGAGGCGAAGTTATAGCCGAAATAAGAATTTTAAATTTTTTGGTTTGTGGCCATTTTAACACACTAGGAGTATACTGAGAACTTTTTGCCCCTATTCAACCATGACCCCCGTAACACTTTCTACACGATAGACTATTCATACTGACTAGGCCTAAAGTTCGAGTCACCCCCCAACTCATTTCTAGACTTTACTTCCAATGATAAATAACTTATATCATTAGTTGATTACACAGTTACTCGTTAATTGCCTGAAATTTACGAGTATGTATTGTAATCGATATAAATATCTCGATTTCCATTGTTCGGTGATGTAAATTTTAATATACATATGTAATATACGTGGTATATAATATACTGCTGCTATATTATACTTGTAGCGAGAATGGGTCGGTTCGACTTGGGAAGAATCACGCTCTCACAGAAAACCAGCGTGAAACAGCAGCGTAATGCTGCTGTGTTTCTTAAACTGCGTATAGAGAACCAGAGACCCTTTTAACTGGAAACAAATGCCTTGTTTTATTCTCTGTCATTCCATCTTAGTCCTCAGGAGTGACAATCAATTCGTATTTTGATTTTTAATCGAGGCTAGATGTAGCTATGTTTATGGACCACTGGATCCACTTACCATCAGGTGGACTGTGTGTTCTTTTGTCACCCTTATATACTCTTTCTATAAATAAGCAAAATATGGTAATAAATATTATTTAGAATTGCTTAATAGATTTGAAGTTTCTTCACAAAAGTATTTTTTATGTTTTATCAATTTGCTATTAAATGTAATATCCAAAGGATGAAACGATTTATAATTATGTAAAAAAATATTTATGAGGTCGAATTCAATAATGATGTAATATTTTGTAGTTTGTTTTTAATTTGAAGTACTTGTTAAATCTTTACTAATAGTCAATTATAGGAACCTATGTTAACTTGTTCAGTTCTAAAGTTGCGTGAGCAATTCTTATATTTATATGTGTGATATGTCTCAGTGATTACTATTCGATCTCAGATATGTAAATAATTACTCAAGTTTTTAATCAACCATTCAACTTTTGAACTGTCTGGTGCGGGGCATAGGTTTTTTGTAACACAGAAAGATCTGTCCGAATCATCGCATTTGATAGGGCCAATACACAGTTAAGTTCCAAAAGGACCAATTTTGGTTCAAATGTAACCATTTTCAACTTTTAAATTGGCCGGTGCAGGACATATACCTTTTCTAACATAGGAAGATGTGTCCGAATCATCGTGTTTGATATGGCTTGACTAAGCAATACTTTGGATACTTTGTATTGTTATAGCAATTGACAGATATTTTGTGAAATTTATAAATGCTAAAAGAATGAGAGTCGTGGCAGCTCAGATGGTTACTGTTCGCTGTAAATTTCACAGTACACGAGCAAACCCGGTTTCTATCCCCGCCGGCACCAATGAAATTGTTAATTGCAATTTAAAGTGCTGATTTACCATGTGCTCGGCGGTGAAGGCAAACATCGTGAGGAAATCTGCATGTCTAAGAAATAATAAAAAAAATATTTCCAAGAAAACCGAACACACGTTGGACAGCACGGCCCACATTTCTTTACCGTAAAACCATCTCAGAAATCAGAGCAGACCTGTACCGGGCAGTAGGACGCGTATATATGCTGTAACTGTAACTAACCTTAACTTTAAAAGAATGAAAGATCGTAAGAATCCTTCAAAAATTAAAAAAAAAAAAACATTTTTTCAATTCAAAATCAGAATTTAGATCGGACACTTTTTTATTGGCTGCATAACCAATAGCATTTTGTAACATAATAAATCTAAGTAAATATTTACTTTTATCCCTGCCAATTACAGGTACATACTTAAAAAAAATGGTTATGTCGCCATTAGTCTGAAGCCATAAGATTTTTGGATATTATCTCGACATTTTACAATAACCATTAAAATACAAAGAGTGATGAAATAATCTTTTTTTTTATAGGATAAGGGTGACAAACGAGC